TAAGATTAAATTGACTCACAAATTTGTGTAACCTTAGTCATGGCCAGATCAAGGGCGTCGTTAAAGTTAGTTTTTTAAGAAAATTTCAACGTCTAATTCAATTTTTTGGGGAAATTAGTAACATTTATAAGTAATTAAGGTCATCCAGTTTTCTTGCGGAAATAGGACATGAATTTTATGAAATCCGTAAATTGTACAGAGTTACCAAATTTTACAAAATATTTCATAGGAAAATTAGCTCCCACATTTCTGTAAACTCGCTCATATCAAGGGTGTTTTTTTATTTTGTAATAGGTAGTAAAATTGTTTTACTAAACTCGGATTTTACAAAGTTACAATTGACTGCGTGAATTGTCGAACTTAAAATCCTGTTTTAAATTTGTATCTTTAAATATAATGAAAATTTTAAATTAGATTTTTTTTTACTTTCGAGGTCTATAAACTTTGGAAATTCAAACTAATTTTGAAGATTATGATTTTGGACACTTTTTATTAAAGCTTTTTAATATCAAACGCGAGGTGCATCACCAACAGAAGAGCGACCAATTTAATTCCATCAGCAATTATATGCAGGTATACTACTAGGTAACAAATTGTTACCAAATTTGGTAACAAATCGTTACCAAATTCGGTAAAAAACAGTTTTATTATCAGATTATACATTTTATGAAAATGTTTTTTAAAAACAATAATAATACGTTTTGATTGGCACGGATTGAAAAGATTCAAATTTCTCGTAAATTGGTGTGGTAGGAGTGTAGCAACCTGTTACCGCGTGGTAACAGGTTGCTACCGAATTGTTTAGAGTATATCCAGTTAGCAAAATGGGAGAGCAGCTCAAAAGACAAAACGTACTTGTAGAGGAGAAAGTCAGGGTTTGTTACTATGCAAATTAATGCAGTGCAAGTATGCAGAGGAGAGAAAGTCAAGTTCGCCTATCTAATTCGCTATCTATAAATTATGTAACGTGTTAAGTAACCTTAAAAATCGCACAAAGAAATTATGCCGGGTTGCTAAGTTACATAATTTTTTGTATCTCGCGTTCCATCTAAATCAAATCAAAATCTATTCATATGAGAAATTGATAATTATGAAATAATGCGGTAATTCATGCAGACCTTGGTAAATCTGCAGAAACCGAAAATTTACAAGTTTCTACAAAATTCCATAAGTAATTCTGGCAAAAAATTAGCTCACACATTTTCGTAAACTTGCTCAGATCAAGAGCCTCTTTTCAATTTGTAAAAGTAATGATTACGTGAAATATTTCATCTTTGTAGCCATTCATAATTTACAAGGATTTCCGCATATAGCAAAAAACAGAATTGTTTGCAATTCCTGTACGCCGCCTAAAGCTTTGCAGCGTTTTTGAACTGTATAACAAGAGTTCAGATCGGTCCCACCGTGTCGCCCTGATTTTATGAAAAAAAGAAATGCCTTGTAATCTATTAGAATATTAACTCGTTAAACTTCTGAGTGAACGTGTCCATATTTTGTACACGTATTTTGAATCTGTATTTTGTACATTTTTTGTACATTTTGTCCATTTTTGTATTTTGTATAAAAATTTGGGTGAATTTAATTTCCAAACGGTATCAAATTTATTAAATTATAGAATAAATTTCCAAATAAAAGATACAAAAACATCAGTTTTTTAGAAGTTTGTTACATATATAATTTTACAAGAATTTAACATTTTACTGCGTACAAACAAACATTCACGTCAAGGGTGTCATTTTGTTCTGCAAAAGTTTGAACGTGTGAAAAAACACTATTGATACGAGAACTGAGGGATCAAAGGGAAAGTAAGTGAATGAAATTGAAATGATGAAATTGAGATCAACTTGTTTGTTTTATTTAGCAAAGGTTTTGACGAAAAACTGATTGAAATTTGGACGAAAAGTGGCATCAAATTTTACAGTAAAAAATATATATATTTTTTACTGTAAAATTTGCTTGGCCAAGCAATTTTAATCAGCAAAGAAAAATGTACAAATTTCGTAAACCAAGTTAAACAAATTAGGTAATCACAATATGATCAAGATGGTGGAAATTATTTTGGTACTTTTTTGGGGGGTTTGAAATTTCCGAAGAAAAACATTTCTTTCAAATTCTTTGATGGTTTTGATCTACTTTTTCATTCATCACATTAACGAACGAAAACAAAAATGTAATTCGGCGTGGATTAAACAAAAAAAAATTACAAGGGCGTATTTCTATTTTGTACAAGTATTTTACCAACTGTACATATTTTACAAAATGTACAGATTTAACAAAATTTTCGGATTTTACAAAGTTGCCAAGGACTGTGTGAATTGTCTCATTATACAAAAGTCAAGGTTGCTTAAATTAAAACGAAGATTGAAGAAAGTCCTACAAGTAGAGGAATCGTAACTTGGAGAAAGTCATGGTCAAGCCCTGTTTAATATGTAAATTATTACAAGTGCAGTAAAGACAAAGTACTAAAAGTAGTTGTTATACGTGCCGATTAAAGTTACTAGACTGGGACAAGAAATTGAGACTTATTAAACTACACATGCACGAACCAGGGTGGCATTGTTAAGTCTAAAATTCGGGAAAGTAACATATCATCAATCCAGAAAGCAAGATCAATTGGTGTCTGTCTTATTCTGAAAGTTAATGGCTTTATTTTATCACTATATTCACTATATCACGGCAGGCGTAAAGTTTAATTGTAAGGTTTGTAAAAACTATGAATCATAATTAGCAATTTTTAAATTCCTGTTTAAAAATCCAGTTTTCCCATCAAAATAACGAGTAAATAAATTCAATCAAAATTTTGTAAACTTTATAAATTCACAGTTTCCACAAGTTTTCAAGGATTTCAAAGTAAAATTAGATCACAAATCTATCGTAAAAAAACCAATCATACTCCATCGATCTTCTTTGACATTCGCTCGAGTAAGTCGTAAAATCACATCTTTCGACGTTATCGAATTACAAATTATAAATTCTTACAGAAAAATTTGTAAAAATGTGTAAAATCATTAAAAAAATAAAATTATTACAAAATTGTGAGCGCATTGCCTCATCAAATTAAAGCCTATCTTTGTTAGAAAACTAGAATTAAAAATGTAATTATTTAATCAAAATGAAATTTAAAATTCAATCATATTTTTGTAACTCGGTAGTCTTTATAAATTACCGAGTTACACCGAATTACTGTTTCCACAAGTTTACAAAAATTTTAAAGTAAAATCATGCTACAAATAGTGTAAAATACAAATTAATAAAACGCAAAAGTACACCCATCTTTATTCTTAATTGACTCGAGTACATCCTAAAATCACATCTTTCGACGTTATTGAATTGCAAATTATAAAATCTCTTGGAACAATTTATTTATAAAAAATTTTGACTTGAAACAATTTATATTCCTGCATTTATATATTTAGACTATTGAACCAGTGTTAAACTTGATACATTCAATTATGTACTTCATAACATAACACTGATTTTAAAAGATTATTTAAAAATTTAGAAACTTTTAAGTATTTTTTTAAGTACGAAATATTTAACAGGGTAAAACTGGCCTAATCAAAATTGAAGATCAGCATGAGATGAGTATTTTGTGAAACTAATTGTAAAATTTCTCAAAACTATGAACCAAAATTAGCAAGTTTTAAATTCCTGTTTAAAAATTTGGGTTTTCCATCAAAATATTCCTGTTTAAAAATTTGGGTTTTCCATCAAAATAATGCGTGAATAAATTCAATCAAATTTTTGTGAACCTTATAAATTTACCGTTTTCACAAGTTTACAAAGGATTTCAAAGTAAAATCAGATATACAGCGTAAAACATACGCATAAATTACATCAACTGCATCGTTTTTGATATTGGCTGGAGTACATCGTAAAATCACATCTTCCGACGTTATTGAATTGCAAATTATGTATTCTTAGCGAAGAATTTGTAAAGATGTGTAAAATAATTTTTTTAATACAAAATTATTACAAAATTACGAGTGAATCGCCTCATCAAATTAAAGAAATCTACCTTTCTTTCATAGAAAACTGTAGTTTTCAGATTAAAATGACATGTAAAATTCAATCATATTTATGAAACTTTACGAATTCACAAGCCTACAAAAACTTAAAAGTGAAATCAGGCTACAAATATACTGTAATAAAATAAATAAGATCAAATCTAAAGCTTGGTCACTTGTGTAGGCAGTTAAGTTTACCTATCTTTTTTGGTACGCTAGCTCGAGTACATCGCAAAGTAATATCTTTCGACGTTATTACATTATAAAATATAAAATTCTTCACAACAATTTATAATTAAATGTGTAAAATAAGTTTTTTTAAAACACAAAATTCTGAGGGAATCACCCAATTAAATTCAAGCCTTGTACAAATCTCCATTAGAAAATTTTCACAAGTGTAAAATCCAGTAGAAAAGTATAAAATCATGTGTTCCTTGGATTTCAAGATAAAATTAAGTCACAAATATACCGTAAAGTTTAAACAATCTTACACGTGTTCAATTCCGCCAGAGTATTAATCTATCTATTTATTACGTTACCTCGAATACATTGTAAAGTTACAACTTTCGACGTTATTAAATGACAAGTTACAACTTCTTAAAAATTTTTTGAAAAAATGTGTAAAATCGTTTGCAAAAAATGCCAAATTGCTATAAAATTCCGAATGAATGATTAATACACTCCCAGCCAACAATTCTTTGTGTTTTCTGGATCAATTCGGCCACAATTTTCGACCTATTCGGGACCGATTTCTTGACGATTCGTACAGAAATCCCAAAGAAATCGGTGGGAAATGTCCGCAGAATCGTACAGAATTCTTGACGATTCGTCACGACTTTTTATGCCGAACTCTGTACGAATTCTGTACGAATTCTTTCCGATTCTTTCTCGACTTCGTGACGATTTCTGATGGAAATCCTAACGAATTTTGTACGAATTCTGCCCGAAATCACTACGATTTACATTTAAATAAAAAATTAGATAGACGAGTTGCCCTTTTAAATAATTTTATTACTTTTGTGATCATAACAAAAAATAAACTAATTATTTGTAAATTAATTCTGTGATGATGGCGAGGGCAGGTTGTTGGTGACTGGCTGTTTCCTGTGAAATTAAAAGAGGTTATAAATATTTAGCACCATATATTGATAATAGCAAAAATTTCTCACTTATTTCTTTTATACACACGATCGCCGGCCTTAGTCAAGTCCCTCGAGATTCCGTCATCAATTTTTGAGTGGTCAGGTGTCAAAGGGCTCATCAGAATTGCCGCACCGCCTAATAATTAAAAAATAGTAATAAATTCAAGGGAAGAAAGTCTAATTATATGATTCACCCTACTTATTCATACTTACTGTGTAGGACATATTTTATATCCGCTAGCGTAGAAAACGAAAGCTTTTTCTGCATTCCTTTTAGACTATATTTGGACAATAAATCGTCGGTCATCAATTTTTTCATCATCTTGCTAATGACATCAACTTCCTCGTATCCTCTCACTCCTCCAGAGACGATGGTGATCTGAATACCCCAAAGAACAATTACCACAAGCAAAACGAGATAAAAACGGATAAAACTTGCTACAACATTTTACAAAATGAAATACTTACCAGGTCACCTTTTGCTACGTCAGACGACTTTACCATGTCATTTAGCTTTTCCAATTCGACAGTATTTGTAAGAGGAAACGTAAATTTCTGTAGTTCCATTGAAATCCGTGTATTTGAGGCAGAGCGACCTTTCCCTCCATCGAGAATTGTGTGCAGAATTTGACCTTGTTCTGCCAATGCAAGTTGAATTCCCTTGACCATCCGCAGCACTGTAATTAAAATAACCGAAGGTTTATTTAGATATTCTTTGGATAGTAGAAATAGTACAAAATTTTTAAAAAAGCTCACATTGAGTAATTTCGCAGGGATCCGTCTGAACCTCCTTCTCATCGGTGTCAATCGCTGGAGAGACGAAATACACCACGTCTTGATCTTGTGTGACAGAAGACGCCTCTCTTGACAAGTTCTCGTTCTCTTCTAGAATAACGTTGGCGTCGCTAGGAATAACGCTTCCAGACTCATCAATTCCGGGTGGCGTGGGAAGAGAAACCTGTCGTTTTGATTTCGATGCCGACGTGGCGCTTCTTTGTTCTTCAAAATCCGAAGTATAGGTTGCTGCTTTCAAATTCTGCCGAGCTTCGTTGTAGCTTCCTGAAAAATTGGACAAAAATTCAATGGTTTATAAAATTATGAATGTAGTTTGGAATGTAAAATGGAATGTAAGGCAAATGACATGTGAGCTTACCGTACGCATTTCCGACGATCAGAGCTTTGCATTTTACCCACGTCTCGAAATTCGGTTCGGCATAATTTTTAACAAGTTTATTTACATTATTCGGTGGGGGTGGCCAATAACAGACTTCTCCAACCATCCACGGCTTGGCAACAACGGCAACAGCATCATTCTCTTCAGGAAATTTCACAATTTGGAATTCCATTATTTAACTACAATGTAAAAGGGGGAACACAAAAGTTTTTAAATTGGATTCGTTTAAAACAACACACTTGTAATTAATCTCCGAGATAGGGATTCGTATTTGACTTGACAATTTTGACAAATCTACACTAATTGTTGAGATAAGTGAAGAATCACAAGGATAGCTAAATGCACTTTCAAAGTCACAAAATTTTCTACATACTACCGTCACCTCTCCGGTTTTTTCTAAGAACTTTTGCGCCACTGCAAATTGTCGGTTAGCGAAACAAAATGTACCGTTATGAACATTAGGTTTTAATGTAAAGTTTTTATATTTCACAGCACTATAACTTCCGTCAGATTGGATTTTTGAAAGTAGTGGAACTTATACTTTGTTCACAAAAGGCCCCTGCACTACAGAATCTTTTTCAATTAACCGCCTGTGAACTTGAGCCAAAGAACCAGATGATTTTCGAATTAATCTCTTAATTTCATCAAGTTTATTTTCATACTTGAAGGCACTAAATGCGTCTAATCCACCAAGTCGACGGACATCTGTTGCCAAATGTATTAGTCCATGAATGTTGTACGAAATATTCACTTTTCCATACAATATTTTAAATTGGCTAACAAAATAATGTAATAGAGAATCAGCATAAGTAATAAGTTGCTCTTTTTGTTTTGGTGAAGCCAAAATTCGGATTGCAAAGTTGAGACACAAAAATAATTGATAATGTTGTTCTGGTAAATGTTTCTTCAAAGCCAAGGGACCCGTATAAAGAAGAAATGTACGTAATTCAGTTGCTTTCCACCTGTCAATTTCTGAAAGTGGTCTTTGTTTCCGGTTGAACTCTACAGGTAAACACTTGCCAACTTTTACGAGTTTTTTTTGATATTTTTAAAATCACTTTCGGCCCTAGACGAAATACTTTAACTTTTCCACTTGTCCATAGTTTTAACAACTTTTTTGTGACTCCTAGGCAAATCAAATGCATGTATTCATAAGGAAAACTTTCAATCATGTCGAGGGGAAGCTTTTCTAAGTCACTAATTCCATTATGATGTTTTTCTTGCACCCGTCCTCTAAAACTGTCATTTGTTCTTAATTCGGCATCCGTTTTTAACATAACCACCCGGTTGTCAACATATTTACCCTTAACTGTGCACTTTCCACAACCATAATAACCGGTATGATTTTTAATGCTTGTAATAAACGCACGAGCAGGGGCGTCACAAATAAATGCTTCTATTTGAAAATCGATTTTACGGCTCTTGTAAATAATTCCGTTGCTAATTAGTTCGACAGATTCTTCCACAAAATCGCGAAGATAATTATTCAAGTCGTTTGGCTTACTGCAACCTTCGTAAATTCCAATTACAAATACATCACTATCACTAACGTCTTTCACACTTCCAAGAATGGGCCAGAGCTGTTTATTTGTACTTTTGTGAATGGGAATGCCGTCAATATTAATGTGAACAACAACTGTCTCATGGCATGAATTTGATTTCTTTAAAACTTTTATAATTCCGGCCGCAAGTCCTAAATGGCAGTATTGTCCAGGCTCAACTTGTCGAATAACGGTAGTAGTGGGCGTTTGAAGTAATGTTCTTGCTTCTGATGGCAAGTCTGAGAAACATTGATGAGTTTTTAATATTTTAAGGAGGTCGGAAATAGCTGAGTGAGTCACGTTATGTCCAGTTCCCCATTTCTGAAGTTTTATTCTAAGGTCAATGCTGTCCTCCAATAAATCTATGCAGTCACTATCAGAACTGTTGCTCTCGTCAATTAAAGGTGAAAATTCCTCAATGTCAAACTTTTCTAAGTAATTATTTTGCTCTGGCACATAATTTAGCAAATCACTATCTGCATTACTTATAATTTCACTTACTGATTCGAGTTGTAAATTGTGATTCTGAGGTGTAGATTCCTGTTGTTTTTTGCTTCTGATCTCGTTGGTTATCACTGGCTGTTGTTGGAGAGCGAATTTATTGTTCAGATAACTTTTCAAATTAATGTTGTTCTTTAAAATCCTCCGTTTTTGCCTCAGGGAGAGCAGTAATAAATTGCGTGGGCTCATGGCCACTTCCAAGAACAAACTGCCGCCTTAGCTAGAATTCCTTAAGAATTCGTACAATCCAATTGAGATTACCGAAATCTCCAAGAAATCGTGACGAATTCGGGCTATCCTTCTGTCTAAATTCGATCAAGATTTTCCGTTAAGAATTCGGAGTGAAATCACAAAGAAATCGTAACGAGTTTCGGTCATCTTTCGGCCTACATTCGTTGAAGATTTTTCTGTGCGAATTCGCAGTGAAATCGTATCGAGTTCTTCAAGAATTCTGGCAGCTTTTGAGCTCGGTGTAATTTCGACATGTTCGTACAGAATTCTTTCAAAGAATTTTGGCCGAATTGTTGGCTGGGCTGTAAATAAAGTTGAGTAAAATTGACACCAAAGCAACTATTGAGTAAAATTTACCCTGACATAGGTAAAATTTACTCGAGGTTGAGCAAAAATCTTTCAACTTTGAGTAAATTTTATTGGTAAAATTTATTAGTAATTTATTAGTAATTTATTAACTTATTAATTTAGTAACTTATTAGTAATTTTATTTAGTAAAAATTGGCCTAATCAAAATTGAAGATCAGCATGAAAAGAGTACTTTGTAAAACTAATTATAAAATTTCTCAAAACTATGAACCAAAATTAGCAAGTTTTAAGAATATGATTTTTCCATCAAAATAACCAGAGAATAAATTCAATCAAATTTTTGTAAACCTTATAAATTCACCGTTTTCACAAGTTTACAAAGGATTTCAAAGTAAAATCAGATATACAGCGTAAAACATACGCATAAATTAAACCAACTGCATCTGCTTTGATATTGGCTCGAGTACATCCTAAAATCACATCTTCCCACGTTATTAAAACTAGCGTATCAGCCCGTCTCCCGCCGGGCGAAACTTTATTTGATTTTCGCGAAAATTAAGTCGGATTGTTCATAATTCCACCGAATTGTTTCTTTATTGCCTCTATATAATTCGCTGGAAATGCCTGTTGTGAGGGAAGTGAAACTTTCTCCACTTTTACTTCCGTCACGGAAAATTACTTTAACTTCCGTTGCAGACAAACATTTCCAGCTTATAATATAGATTTTATTTTATTCGTCGTTTTATTCTTTAAAAGTAAGTTTTTTAAGAAAATTTCAACGTCGAATTCAATTTTTTGGGGAAATTAGTAACATTTTTAATTAATGAAGATCATCCAGTTTTTTGTGAAAATAGGATATGAATTTTACGAAATCCGTAAATTCTATAGAGTTACAAAATTTTACAAAATATTTCATAGGAAAATTAGCTTTCATATTTCTGTAAACTCGCTCATATCAAAGGTTTTTTTATTTTGTAAAAGTTTCGGTTTTACAAAGTTACAACAGACTGCGTGAATTGTCGAACTTAAAATCCCTTTTCAAATTTTGTATCTTTAAACATAATAATAAATGCAGATTAGATGTTTTTAATTTCGATGCCAATAAACTTTGGAAATTGACACGAATTTTGAATATTCTGCTTTTGGACACTTTTTTATCAAACGTAAGGTGAATCACCAACGGAAGAGCGACCAATTTAATTCCATCGACAATTATGTGCAGGTATACTACTCGCTAACAAATTGTTACCATATTTGGTAACAAATCGTTACCAAATTTGGTAATAAAAACAATTTAATTTTCAGATTA